CACACACACACGGTGGGGGGGGGGGATACATTTAACTTGATCCTAATTCGAGAGAGGGTTTCTCTGTGTAGCTTTGCCCCTTTCCTGGAACTCACTCTGTAGACCAGGCTGGCCTCGAATTCATGGAGATCCACCTGCCTCTGCCTCCCGAGTGCTGGGATTAAAGGCGTGCATCACCACCGCCCGGCAATGCAAACTATTTTGATAGAACAAATTTAGCTGTTCAACAGACACATACAGCCTGAAGTGGTGATACATGCCTATAATCCCAAAACTTAGGATCAGGAGTTCAAGGACAATCTGGGTTACATGAGACCCTGTCTCAAGAAAGAGAGAAGAAAAAAATTTATACATATTTTGAGCATTTAAATCCAATCTTTAAGAAAAAAAAACAAAGACCCCCCCAAAAAGGTCCAGAGATATTAAGTGACTGCTAGAGATGTTAGATTATAAATTACTTAAGCACAAAAATACATATATATACTTTTTTTTTTGCCCTGGTGGATGGACTCACTATGTAGGCTAGCCATAGCTCAAACTTAGAGACCCCTGCCTTTGTCTCCACGTGCTGGAACTAAAGGCATACACCACCATACCCAGCCCAGCAAAAAAAATCTTCTATTTTTTTTTTCTTTAAGGCCAGGCTTTCTCTGAGTAGCCTTGGCTGTCCTGGAACTCACTCTGTAGACCAGGCTGGCCTCTGCCTCCCAAGCGCTGGGATTAAAGGCGTGCGCCACTACACCTGGGCCATTTTTGTTACGTTTTGAGTCAGGATTTTTTATTTCACTATGTAGTCCAGGCCGGCTACGAATTCTCCATCCTGCCTAAACCTTCCTAGTGTTGGATTTACAGGCATACATGAGCTAAGTCTTAAATACAGAAGCCTATGAGGTTTTTTTGTTGTTGTTCTTGTTATATTGGCTGTGTGTGTGTGTGTGCGTGTGCGTGTGTGTGTGTTACAAGGTCTATACATGTAGACGTCAGAGGTAGACTCCAGACATCTTCTACTATTCACCTTATGTCTTGAGGCAGGGTCTTCTACTGAACCTGGAGCTCTCCACTTGGCTAGACTGGCTGGCTGGACAAGCCCCTGGGACCCTCCCATCACTGGGGTCACAGGCATTGAGCCACTCCACCGGGCATTTTATGTGGGTGCTGGGGACCCAAAGTCAGGCCCCATGCTTATATGCAACAACCACTTTATTTGACTTAGACATCTCTGCAGCCTGTGTTTTGTTTTTAATCTACCCTAGTAACAGTGATCTGCGCTCAATACATTGTCCTAATTTTAAAACAAATCCTGAGAGGCTGGAGAGACAGCTTGTCTTTAAGGGTTTGCACTGCTCTTCCAGAGGACTTAGGTTTGGTTTCCAGAGCCCATGTCAGGCGGCTCACAACCACCTGTAACTCCGTCTCCGTGGGAGCCAACACCTCCAGCTCCTGTAGGCACCTGCACGCCTCTGCACACGTGCCGACAGATACATACCAACTAAAATGACTATAAATACAACTTTCAAAAGACTGGGATTCTGTGTTACCCCCCTGGGAAAAAATACGATTTCTCTAGTGTTCTGAGTGTTGGCCACAATCATCTCTTATCTAGACTGCACTCTGGTCTTTTAACTAGTCTCTCTGTGGCCATTCTTGTCCCTACCCTAACCATTGAGTGTGATAAAGTAGCTAGTAGTATGAGTGTAAACCACATCATTACATCTGCTCTTAAAAGTACCCACTTGTTTTCTTATCTAATTACAGTGAAACCTAAATACCTTAGACAGCATTCTACCAATGAAGCTACATTCTCAGCCTGTCTTACTGTACCTTGTATCATTCTTCCATAATCGCTATACCTGTGTGTGTGTGTGTGTGTGTGTGTGTGTGTGTGTGTGTGTGTGTACATGTGTGGAGGTTGGAAGGCTCACTTGCAGACTCAATTCTCTCCTCCTGTCATAGGCTCTAGGGACTGAACTCAGGCCATCAGGTTCACCCCGTAAACACTTTAAACCTACTCAACCATCTCATAGGTATAATTGATTGTTTTAGTAGCTGGCTCCCTACACTGTAATGAGCCTTGGTTGCTTTTCTCTTTTTAAATTTATTTGTTTTATTTATTACTGCTATGTGTAGTGTATATGTGTGGGGGCACAAGGGCAATGGTACCCTATGGAAGTCAAAGAACAACTTTGTGGAGTGGGTCTTTTCTTGCACCGTTACCTGGGCCCCAGGGATGGAACTCAGACCATCAGGTCTGCTCGCTTTTCCTCACTGAGCCACCTCACTGCAGACCTTAAGGTTCAAGGTCAGGCACCACATTTGTTTGGCTTTGGCTTAATCTTCTGGCCCGTAGTAAGAAACTACAAACTAGTTTTGGAAAAGCCAAGCACAGCAGCAGTGGTACATGCTTGCGGAGTCCCGGCTACGGGAGGGGTGGGGGGGTGGGGTGGCTACGGGAGGAGGATCGTCTGAACCCAGGAATCCTGTACCAGCCTGAGCAACACCCGAGAATCCCGTCTCTTTCACGTGTGCACGTGCACGTATCTGTGGGTATGTGTGCACACACGTGCACATGCATGTGAAGCCCAGACCTTGGGGTCACCCCTTGGGTGCTATCCACCTGGTTTTTTGAGAGGTTTTCTCACTTGGCCTGAAACTTGCTCATTATTGCTCTAGGCTGGCTAGCCAAAGAGCCTTGGGAATCCTCCTGATTAACCTCCATATTGCTGGATTACAAGATTGCATCACCATCCCTGGTTTGTGTGTGTGTCGGGGGGTTCTGGGGGTCAAACTCAGGCCTTCATGCTTGTAGAAGACTGTTATCGCAGCCCTATGAGACCCCAGTATCATGGAAGAAAAAGAAACTAGACATGGCATCACATGCCTGTAATCCTGTCCTAGAGCTGGGAGAGCTGGGAGCGGAGAGGTCTAGAGCAGGGGATCCCGAGTTCAAGGCTAAGTCAGGCTGTGCAGTGAGACCTGTCTCAGCAGCAGAAGCAACAACAAAAGAAATAAAAACCAGGCAAGCTGACTCAGCAGAGTAAAGGCTCCATCACCAAATGTGACCACCTGAGTTCAAGCTTGAGATCCACACGGTGGGAGGAGAACCAACCCTTGCCAACTGACCTCCACGTACAGTGTGTCAATGCCACCTGCCCCAACACTAATAATAAATAACATTAAAAAAAGGCGGGGAGGGATGGAATAAACGTGTAGGAAGGCAATGAGGGTAGACTATATGGTTTAGATATAATTAAAGTAATACAATATTTATCATCTCCAATCTCAGTCAGCAATGGTATAGCAAATCCAACTTCCATCTGATATTATTACTCTTTAATGGTTTAAGATATGAATGAAGGCTGGGCAGTGGTGCCAGCACTCAGGAGGCAGAGGCAGGCGGATCTCGGTGAATTCAAAGCCAGGATAATCTATATAGTGAGTCGACCAGGGCTATACAGTAAGACCCTGTCTCAAAAGCAGACGAATGGATAATATATAGTCTGGCAGACATGGAGGATTAATTCCAGGATCCTGCATCCTGCCCACCCACCCAAATCCTACCCAAATCCCTTAGATAAAATGGTATTGCATTTATATATAACTTACACAACCCTCTGTATCCACCCCCAGACTGTTTATAATATCTAATACAATATATATGCAATGCAAAGAAATATTGTGCTGTATTGTTTAAGGATGATGACTGTGGATGCCTGTCAGGGACAAGGACAGAATCTCTAGTTAGTGGAAAAATACAGACCCCCAATAAGACGGGGAACTAGATCAGCTTACAGTCAGGTTGCCTAGCAACAGGACATTGAGTCAGAGCCCTTGACCCCCTCGAGGACCCTGTAAACATCCTATACAAACATCCTGTTAGCTTGCCCCACCTTATGCAGATGACAGCTTCTTGCTCCCCCCACCCTGCAGGAACTATATAAACCTTTGTGGAAGGAAATAAAGTGGCACCTTGATCAGAATCTAGACTTGGTGTCTTTTCCTTTGTATCTCCTGTCCCTACATTCCCCCCTTAGGGTGGTCGAGAACCCGTTGAAGCCCTGCAGGCGGGGCAGTTGCCCGAAAGAAAAGATGAGGAAATGGCTATGAAAAGCCAACTGTACACTCAGAACATCCTGAGCTACCTCTGTCTCCTAAATAGCAAGTCACAGGCCGGGAGACGGCTCAGAAGGCGGAAGGTGGAAGGAAGCACCTGCCTCGCAAGCCTGAGTTTGGTGCCTGGGACTCACGGTGGAGGGGAAAGCCTGCTGCCCTCTGCCCAGGTACATGTGTGCGTGGTACACTCCCTCTCTGCACTAACACTCTTTAAAACGTGTGTATGTGGGGCTGGAGGGATGGTTTAATGTGCAAAAGCACCTCTGCTCTCCCCTAGGACCTGGATTCGGATTCCCAGAACCCACATGACAGCTCACAACCATCTGTAACTCCAATTCTGGTGCCCTCTCTTGGCCTCGGCCAGCACCAGGCACATAGATGGTGCACAGACATACATGCAGGCAAAACATCCATGCACATAAAGTGAAATATTGTAAGTGCGTGTGTACGTGTATACATGTGTGTATGTGTACGTGTACGTGTGCGTGCGCATATGTGCCATGTGCAAGCCATGAAACATGGAGGCCACAAATAGTCTTGTAGGAGAAAAGAAAACCGAACCTGAATGAACGCTGCGCCCACTTTTCCTGGTCCACGCGGGGAGCCAGTCCCGACTTTCCAGCCCACAGGACATTGTCACAGGCAAAGTATAAGGCTCGATTGAGATGACTGACAGTGATGCAGAACCTCAGGACGACATCTGAGAGGTGCACCGCTCTTTTGGCTGACTCAAGAGCATCTGCTGAGTTACCCAGGCGTAGCACTTGTGGAGAAGAGAGGCAGAGGTGGGGGCAGAGAAGAGAGAAAAAAGGGAAAAGTTGAGTAAGCAATAATAACATACAATAAGAAAGAGTAAACATAGCTCATTCTTTTTTGTTTGTTTGTTTGTTTTGTTTTTTCCAGACAGGGTTTCTCTGTGTTGTTTTGGTGCCTATCTTGGCTCTCACTCTGTAGACCAGGCTGGCCTCGAACTCAGAGATCCGCCTGGCTCTGCCTCCCGAGTGCTGGGATTAAAGGCCTGCACCACCACCACCCGCGGGTTCGTTCTTTTTTTAAACTTCAAATTGTAATTAACTTTGGTCCCGGTTTAGTTTTGACTTGCCCGTTCTCTCCAATCCGTGCTAACTTTCTTATGCCTGTTGTCTTATCTCAGTTGGAGGCATGCAGAAGAGCCAAAGGATGAAAACAGGCAGAAAAGGAAAATACAAGAAGGAGAGGCAATGGGCTCACAGATGAGAATGATAAAAGCAAGGTTTGGTTTACTTACACTTTCTTCCAAGGCTCAGATGACCCTCCAGTTGCCGAATCTGTTTCTGTAACTCAGGGCTGGCGCCATGTCTCTGCAAAGCATGGCCAAGAAGGGAACAGGCATACTGGGCAGCCCTGGAGGGGAGGGGAGGAGAAGTAAGGGACAGGCCTCCCTGACCTCTGCCAAACACGTCTTCCAGCGGGCTGGTGAGGCTCTTGCAGAGGACCGGGGTTCCATTGCCAGCCCCCACATGGTGGCTCACAACCGTCTGTAAAACTCCAGGTCCAGAGCATCCGTCACCCTCTTCCGACCTTTGCAGGCACCAGACACACATGCGGTGCACATGGTACGTGCAGACAAAATACTCAGACAAATAATAACAAATCTGAAAACAAAAACTCCTGCGGGGACGTTTCCTCCCTTTTCACACCAATATCTTCCTGGTTTTCCTCAAGGCCAGGGGAAGGGAAAGACAAGAGGAAAATAGAGCCTATGAGAGGGTGGAGAGCACTATTTGGAGTTAAGAGAGTCAAGAGTTTCAAGGGGTGAGACCTAAAGGGGTCAGTGGGCAGCCGGGATCCGTCCACCACCAGCGAGTTCATATATAAACACGGCAGCAGCGGGCCATCTAGTTGAAGGGCAGACTATTCCTCCAGATAGGGAAGCTAAGGGGTTAAGGTCCTCGAACGGTATGGAACCCAAAGGAGAGGCGAGCCAGCGCTGCTCCTGGGTGACAGCCGGAGAGCGGACGCAGATCCGGAAGGATCGCCCTTCATGGCCACCACAGCGGTGAGGGAACTGGGGCTGGGTGGACACGGTAACCCCGGGCGGCCTCCCCACCGGCCCACTCATGCCTCAGTTTCCCCATCTTTCCCGTGAGCAGGAAAGGGTCATCCCGCAACCGGCTGCAGGGTGCGCCTCCCGGGCCGCGCGGGCCCCCGTAGCCGCGGCTGACCCTCGGGGACCCCGTAGCGCGCCCGTCGCCTCGCGGGCACCTGCTCTGCCCTCCCGCCCGCGCTCCGCCGTCGGCCGCACCTACACAGCCGCTCCCGGGCTTGGCTCTGAGCACTGAAGCGGACCCAGGCATCCATGACAGCGGCGGCCCGGGCCCACGGCGCCGCAGCCCGCCTGCTTCCAGCCCCTAGTCACGCCTCCCGGGCGAGCAACGGGGCTTCGCGAGGGACAAACGGCGGCAGGAAAGCCAGCCAGCCGGAGCCGGCCCTGTGGCGGAATTTCAGGACGCGAAGCGAGATCGGGGGTGCGTTTCCGGCGGAGCACCCTCCCGGGACGGCCTCCGGCCTCTAAGCACGCCCCCGGGGGCGCATTCCGCTTTAAAGCCTCGGCAGCACGGGGCGGGGCCTGCGGGAGCCCGGAGGAGCTGCAGGACGCCAGCCGAGGCTGCAACCTCCCGCCCCGTCCCGCTGCCGGTGCTGAAGATCCCGGGGCCGCCGAAGCCTGGAGCCCAGACTAACGGTCTAAGGGAAAGAGGGTGTGATGAGAGCCGGCTTGGCAACCTCCTCCCGGATAGATGAACCGTCCAGGGACGAAATTCACAGTCCACCACGTCTGCAGGCCCCGGCACACCTTCGGGGTCAGCAGTGGTGAAGGACGGTCTGGGCGAAATTGACGAGTGGCAATGGGTCGGAGATGCCCACCTTCTCAGGGGCAGCAAGGTCCGAAGGGGCGTGACCATTGTGCTCTGCGTGACTTTGCTGGAAGAAACCTGGCCGTGCTGTGGTTAGAGGCAGCGCAGGATCGCAGCCAGCTCCATCCCTTCTCTGGACTCATTTAGCCGTTGCCAACTTAACGGTCACTTCTGCGGTTATGCTAGATGCTATCTGAAATATTCTTGTCCGGTGTCTAGTTGGAGACGTCGCATATAGACACCCATGCCTCTAAAATCTAATTGCCATGTGGATAGCTTTCCTGCCATGGAGCAGTACTCAAGCCGCTTTAACCCAGCGCTCAAGTGCAGAGTGTGAACAAGTGTAAATGAGCCGTATGGGGGAACCTTGCTTGCCTCACTCAGGTGAGTTGTCAGGGCTGCACACTAGGTTACCGCATAGCATGCTTTGCAGGCTACTAGCCTTGGATCCTCAGGGAGGGAGCCTCTGCTATCTCCTGGGAAGATCATTTACATGCTAGAGACCTACATTTTGCTGGATGTGATGGCAAATACCTGTAATTCCACCGCTTAGGAGGCAGAGGCAGAGGCAGAGCAATGAGTTTTAAAGCCATCTTAATTTATCTAGAGCTCCATTCAGTCCAGCCAGATCTACATATTGAGACTCTGACTTTTTTTTTTTTTTTTTTTTGGTGAAGAGGCACTAGCTTGGTGGTTAAGAGTGCTTACTGCTCTTGCCATGCACTGGGGTTCAATTCCCAGCATGCATATGGCTGCTCACAACTGTCTCTAGCTCCAGTTCCAGATGCTCTCTTCTGGCCTCCATGGGTACCAGGAACGCACGTGGTTCACATATACCCTTCAAGCTGACATTCACACATGTAAAATACAATTGTTTAAAAGCAGTACACTAGTATCTGCATCTGGATCTCTTTCCTCAGGCTGGCTTTGAGTGCTGGATTTCCACCTCTTTGCATCCCTCCTGTCCCACCTTTCTAGGATGCTGGTACAGAAAAACTCCAGGACAGGGAAAGACATTTTACAGGTCTACTACGAACAAAGTCAGTGGCATAGTGGCACGCACCTTTAATCCCAGTACTAGGGAGGCAGAAGAAGAAGGTGGATCTCTGCGTTCAAGGCCAGCCTGGTCTACAGAGCAGGTACCAGGATGGCTAGGGCTACACAAAGAAACCCTGTCACTGGCCAGGTGGTGGTGGTCCACGCCTTTAACCCCAGCACTCGGGAGGCAGAGCCAGGCGGATCTCTGAGTTCAAGGCCAGCCTGGTCTACAAAGCGAGATCCAGAAAAGGCACAAAGCTACACAGAGAAATCCTGTCTCAAAAAACAAACAAACAAACAAAAAACCCTGTCACCAAAACAAACAAATAAATAAAAGAATGAAGTCTGGCTAGAGTCGACTCAAAGAGCACTTGTTCTTGGAGATGTCCCAGGTTCAATTCCCAGGACACACATGATGGCTCACAACCATCTGTAACTCCAGTTCCAGGGGATCTAACACCTCCTTTAATCTCAGTAGGTACCAGGTATGCACATGATAAACACATACACATGATTTTTTTTTTAAAGTCTGGTGCTTTGGGTTAAATTTTGTGGTTTTCATTCTATTAAAGAAATAATGTCCACAAGTCCTGTGCTCATTGCATGAGTTGGCTGTTTGAAACCTGGAGCTTATGCAGGGACACTTGGCTCAGTCTGGGAGGAAGGGACTGGACCTGCCTGGACTGAGTCTACCAGGTTGATCGAAGTCCTCGGGGGAGGCTTTGCCCTGGAGGAGGTGGGAATGGGGGGTAGGCTGGGGGTAAAGGGAGGTGGTGGGAGGGGGGAGAATAGGGGAACCCGTGGCTGATATGTAGAACTGAATGGTATTGTAAAATAAAATAAAAATTAAAAAAAGAAAGAAAGAAATAATGTCCATCAACTCTGAGTGTACTAAAATGCTCCAGGTACTTAAGGGAACTTCCTGCCTGGTATGCCCAGCCACATTAGGAGTTAAAGAATGGAATGTGGGAGTTGGAGATGGCTCGGAGGTTAAGAGCACAGACTGCTCTTCCAGAGGTCCCAAGTTCAATTCCTAGCACCCACATGGTGGCTCACAACCATCTGTAATGAGATCTGGCGTCCTCTTCTGTGTACATAATAAATAATAAATCTTTTTTTTGAAAAGCATCAGAAATGTAAAACAAGCTTAGCCAGCTGGTTTGCACCTGTTACCTCAACAACCCAGCACTGGAGGGAAATGCAGTAAGACCCAGGCTAGCCTGATATAATTAGTTTTAAGACCCTGCCTAAAACGTAGCAGTAGGTGCAGCAAAAAAGCCTGACTATAGTTCTAAGGCAGAAAAAAAAAAATTACAACAATGTTATAAACAAGATCTCTACCACTTATTATTAAAAACACCTAGGGCTGGAGAGTTGGCTCAGTGGTTAAGAGCACTGGCTACTCTTCTGAGGATATAGATTCAATCTGGGCACCCACATGGCAGGCAGCTCACAACCATCTGTAGCCCCAGTCCCAGAGGATCTGGAGCCCTGTTTTGACACTCCAGGCACCAGGCACACATGTGATGTACAAAAACACACGCAGACAAAACACACATAAATTACATAACTGAATTAAAAAAACTATTGGGACACCTAACATACATTCAGACAGACATAAACAAAAATAAATGTAAAAAGTTTTATGGTGTAAAGAATGGCATTACGAATAGCACAAAATTACTCCTTATTTCTCTAAGCGCCAAGTTTCTAAGTCACAGTAGTTAAAAGGAGGGAGGGTTTCTACAATACATGGCTAAGTTCTGTAGGAGAAAGTTAGAAGACCACACAATCAGTGAGTTTCCCTTCTTTCCACCTCCTCTCCCCAAAGACAAGCTCTCATATAACCCAGACTGACCTCCAACTGGAAATGTAGCTAAGGATGAACCCAACCTGATTCTTCAGCCTTCACCACTCACGTAAGTGCTATGATTACAGGCAGGAACCACCACGTCCATTGGATGTGGGTTGGATGAACAAAAACCAGGGCTTGTGCACACTAGACAGGCTATCTACCAACTGAACCACATCCCTACCCCTTTATGAGCTATTTTTATATTCCTCAAACAAAAAGAGCATCCAAAAACATAAGGATTTAAAATAGAAGAGGCTCTTCTCAACTAATACAAAATAGCCAGGTCATACATATACCAGTAGTTCATCTAATGTCTCTCTGGCTGATACTATTTTCCTGAAGTCTCTCTTACTTGCTCAACTCACTCTCTCAAGTATTTCAGACTATCTAGAAATGTTTTACCAAACTAATAGTTATTCAGTACACATTACCAAAAAGAACCAAGGCACCCTAACCCTGCAAATCTAAACTAAAATATATTCTTTTTTTCGAGACAGGGTTTCTCTGTGTAGTTTTGGTGCCTGTCCTAGATCTCGCTCTGTAGACCAGGCTGGCCTCAACTCAGAGATCTATCTGGCTCTGCCTCTCCAAGTGGTGGGATTAAAGGGGTGCCCACTACCGCCCAGCTACTAAAATATATTCTTAACCAATTCAATCCAAAACCCCCAGCAATTTATCAAAAGGAAGGAAAAGGCAGCCAGTAACATTTGAAAAAATGTTAAGTTTAATATTTGCCATTATGCACTGGGGAGTATCTCAAGTCTAAGGCCAATGTGAACCACAGTGACCCACAGACTTCAGAACAAACAAACATAAAATCCCAAAGTTGGCCAGGCAATGGTGGCACACATGCCTTTAATTCTAGCACTCCAGAGGCAGAGCCAGGTGGATCTCTGTGAGTTCAAGGCCAGCCTGGGCTATAGAGTTCCAGGAAAGGTGCAAAGCTCCAGAGAAACTCTGTCTCAACAAAACAAAAACAAAAAAAAACAAAACAAAACAAAAGGCCATGATAAAGTACTCAAGCTGGGTTTATGTTGTAGAACTTAAACTTCATGTTCAGCACCATATTCAAGGTGGAGCTGGCTGAGCAAGTTCAAAGGCCCCATTAATTCTAGGGACCACATAAACTGGATATGGTGGCCCATGCCTGGAATCTCAGTACCTGGAAGACAGAGGCAAAGTATCAGAAGTTCAAGGCCATCCTGGGCTACACAGTGAGTTTAAGGTTATCCTGGGCTACACAAGACTGTATGACAGAGAAGCACAAGAAGCACTAATATAATACCTGCTCACAAGAGTATGGAGGAATCATTCCCTAATGCCATAAAAAAATCTCACTACCCCTGCTCTCTTGTCTTCTAAGAAAAGAAATGATGAGCAGAGTCTTTACCTGAGCCTTTCTAGAAACTCAGAATGACTCCAGACAGAAGTATTTCCCAATGACTCAGAATGCCTACTCTAAATAGTTCTTCAGTCTTCAGAACAGTAAAATAATTTTAAATGTAGAAAACAAAATGAAACATTTATTTATTTTTTTTTTAACTCAAAGCAATACTAAGTAGATAGGGTAAGTTATTAAATATAAACAAAAGTTCTACCCTAACCCTATTTATGCAAGGCAGCACAACCAAATGGACTCGTGGCGAGACCACCCGGTCAAGGTCAACCGAGGATCTATCAATATCAACGACGTCTCCGGTCTGGACTTCTGCTTCGTCTTCGGCCACCTCTAAGGAAATGAAGAAGGAGGGAGATCCATCAGAGAGACAATACAAAACCATTATTATTATTATTATTATTATTATTATTATTATTATTTGTTTTTGTTTTTTGGAGACAGGGTTTCTGTGTAGCTTTGTGCCTTTCCTGGATCTCACTCTGTAGACGAGGCTGGCCTGGAACTCAGAGATCCACCTGCCTCTGCCTCCCAAGTGCTGAGATTAAAGGCATGCGCCACTGCCGCCGCCGCCGCCACCACCCAGTTACAAAATCCTTATTTATTTTCTCTGCTCCCTTCACCAAAATAAAGGTTTGCCCCCTCCATTTTACCTCCTCTTGCCCTTTGGTGGACCCCGAACAAAACACCAGTCGACACTGATTGGCTGTCCCATCAAATCTTGACCATTGAGTCCCTCCATGGCAGCCTGGGCCTCTTTGTATGTTTCATACTCCACTAGAGTATACCCCTGGGGAGAACATGAAAGCATCCAAAGTTTACCTCACCAACCATCAAGCACCCTCTTCCATAAACCTGAACTGCATCCTTAACCAGAAAAATTTACCAGCTCCATACAGTGAAAAGTAAATCAATTACACACACAGCATGCCCATTTTGTTTTCGTCTCTTTCTTGTGGGTAACAAAATCAATTTCCAGTATCATTCACTTAATCCCTGTTCTTGGCCAACCACAGCAAATACAAAACAATCACCAATGTATCTAAGAGTTATGAATGAAGGAAGCAGAAAATCTACCTTCAAGTATCCTGTACGCCTGTCCAAGTTAAGGTGGATGTTTTTTATTTCCCCATATTCAGCGAATTTGTCATGGATATCTTCTTCAGTGGCTTCTTCATGGACTCCAGTGACAAAGAGAATCCAACCTTCAACAGCTGTTGGGCAAGGGAGAGTGTTGTATGAGGACCTAAGACAAAAAGCCCAGCAGCACTCAGGAGGCAGAGGTAGGCAGATCTGAGTTCCAGGCCTGCCTGGTCTACAGAGCA